TAACATTTGGAACATACCTTTGGAAGAATTTGTTTGCATTCGGGCCCGCTCTTTTCTTCCCCCATCTCTGTCCAAAGTGAGCAGCAGCCATCTTTGATGAACTTTTCAATCTCTCCATCTGATGCACTGCCAGTACTTGCATTTCTTTGCACTAATTCAGGGGTGGCGAACTCCGGTCCTGGAGAGCCGCAGCCCTGCAGAGTTCAGCTCTAACCCTAATTAAAACTCACCTGCCTGTAACTTCCTAGTAACCGTTCAGACCTTGATTAACTTGTTCAGGTGTGTTTGATTAGAGTTGAAGCAAACCTCTGCAGGGCTGCGGCTCTCCAGGACCGACGTTCGCCACCCCTGTCCTAAACCTACCAATACTAGGGGATGCATAATTTGGCAGGGTGCAAATTTCGGCACTACACCGGCTGCAGTGCCTGTCTGTTTTGTTTATGTTCACCCAACCATTCACTAAAGTCTCTCATGCCCTGCAGAGGAATATTACATAATACAGACATGAACACGCATCCCGTTAGAACACAAATTAAATGTGTCATATGACATTTTTTGCATTTACTCCCACTTACTTTGACATCGGAACAGCTGAGTGTGCAAAAGCATGCCAGAAATTCTATATACTGTAGCAGATCACGTGGGCCAAAAATGACTCTGGCCTGTAGGTGTTTTTTTTCCTTCTTCTGTGCTCTAAATAGCAGGTTTTACTGAGCAGAAGACCACTGCAGTTGCACTATATTCCTCACAAACATGCATTAGTGTATGTGTATTACTTCTTTTTTTATTTTGTCATTTTACACGCAAGTACTGGTGTAAACGCCATGGTAAATGAATAGGGCAAATATTCACTAGCGTACTATTATGTAATATCATCACTATACCACAGTACAGTATTTTTAACTGTCATCTGTATCTGAAACAGTTGCGAAGCCAACGGGCTTGTGATTCATGATGATGTTGCTAAGAGAAGTTGCAACAAGGAGTGCTGCAATGCGAAAACATGTCCTCCACAGCACTGCCCGCTCCGGGAACACTCACTGTACAATTTCCACAAACCCAGCTTTTAATAATAAACAATAACAATCTGCTGTCGTCAGAAAGTACATGATAATGTAAGATAGCTGCGCCCATAACAACTGCTGATGACGTAAGGCCGCGAGCTGCAAAATCCTCGATCAGGGAACAAAAGTGAAATAGTGCGGGTAACCGCGGGGTTGGTGTTTGATTGAACCTTTGATTCACCACAAATTCACGTTCGTTTCCAGCATGAAACTAACCTTACCCACAGTCGCGAACTGGGTTTACTGGTCGTTGTGGTAAACACCAAACATACCTTGGGATGGGGTGCTGATGGATTCAGTGAAATACAACGCCTGTCTTCCCCACTTGGACGAATATCAGGTGGCCGAATCAGCGCAGTAAGGATGTCGACCTCCAAAACTCAATCACTTTATATATTTTAAGTCGCCTTCTATGTTGAAGATGTCGACTGGTCCACTTTTCCCACTAACAACAACAACAAATAATGTACCGCCTTATTCTGGGGCCTGACCAATGAAAATCATAAAAATAGACTGACATGGCATCTAGCTATTTAGGAGAGAGAGGAGACGGCGTTTAAATGTTTTTACAGTGCTTCTATTGGCCAGAGTGTGCTGTCACTCAAGGGTCCTCTTGGTCAGTGGAACCAATCAAAATAAAGGAAAGTTAGGCCAATGAAAGGAGCGCTACAGTGTATCTGTGTTACGTGCCTGACGTGTCCTTATCTTGGCGAAACCAGCCTGTGCTTCTGGTAGCAACCCAGGACAGAGACAGTTCGTTTCTCTGAAGTTTTGTAGACATAGTGCCATTCCTTATGAACGTCCTACGTGTCCTTTCGGCAAACAAATAAACAAACAAATCTAAGAAAAAGTTAAACCTAGAAACAATAAAGTGGGCTACAATACAGTAATACAATTATATAGAATCAGAATCAGAAAGAGCTTTATTGTCAAGTGTGTTTACACACACAAGGCATTCGTCTTGGTGCCAGGAGCTTCCAGTACAGAAAGTACAAACATAGTGCAGACATAAGGTAATAAAAACAACAATAATAAAGGGAATAGACAATCAATTATAAATAACAATATAGTAATAAAATATAGAGAAAAGAAAATGTCAATAGACAAACAGTATACAGTTGTATACAACACTATACTGCTAAGTGGCGTTATTATACAGTGACACAGCAGTGAAAACAGACTGACCCAGAAAGAGATGCACACAGGACATCCAGGGTGATGCATGAAGGAGCAATAAATTGCTACAAAATGATTCTCAAGTTAGTATGAAAGGGAAATTTTTTTACAATAATACTTATGAAAATCAAAGTTTTGAGGGGAAGTTTTACGATTATAATTATGGATGTGCTTGTGTATATTTCTGTATTTATTATTGTTTTTATTTATTGAAACTATTTTATTGTGTGAGCGATGAAACTTGTTTTTGTAATTACCTTTTAAAATCTGTTTTTATTGTGTTGTATATTGTACTTATAATACACGTCGGGGCTGAATATAAAAATAAATATATGTATATTTTTTAGAAATGTTTCAGATTGATCAGAATTGGGTCTCAATGTCAATTTAATCTGGATTGTTTTTAATGTCTAGAAAGGCCTATTTTTCCTTCTCTGTGGGCTGTGGCATGCTCCAGCATAGATATGTGGTTCAGGCTGTTGGTGTGCAGGAGAAGGCGGCAGAATTTCCGGTGTCATCATCATCAGCCATTTTGTTAGAGGTGTTGACATTCAACCGCTGAGTTCGGCGAACTAGTTGATATGGGCTCCAGTATAATTTTAATGTCAACTGGAACTTGGTTTATTTAAGGTATTCGGTATAAACCATTGTTAAGCAGCTTTTGTACGCGATTTCCTACAAAGCATCCTATATTAAACGAACTATTATTTTCCTCATATTTGCGTAGAATTTTCGGACGCGATAACAAGTAGCTAATAACGTTAGCTCTGGGAAAATGGCGGCGAACGCGGCACAGCAAGCCCCGACACCAAACTGGTAAGATTATAAATCCTTTTTATCATACCATATATCTTCTGCTACATCACTTTGACTCTTGAACGACTGCTTTCTATGAACGGAAACCTTTACCAAACATGTATGATGTAAAAGTTTGTGTGAATGTCCATAGGGGTTTAGCGTTTGCTAGCCTATCTGCTTTAACTTGGTGGATATTCAGCGAATTATATCGTCTTTTGATAATTTTTAAAAAAACAATTTTTTCAATTATATGCGTGACTCAATATAAAACTAACTTGCAGATTTTAAAGTGTGCAAATATTATAACGTTATATACTGGTTGCTGATGTATTCAGTTTTATTTGTTTGTGAACTCTTTGTATTTTGTATGTAAAATATACAGGAAGGTTCTAGATATTGTGTAACCTAAAGTCAAATTTACTTTGTCATGCACAGGCCGTATGGTAGTAATTCAAGCGGAGAAGGGCAAGTACATGAGAACCCAGAATGGGAAAAAGCCCGACAGGCTCTAGCCTCCATTAGTAAAAGTCAGAACTCTACCAAAACTTCACCAACCAATCGCACCCCCCAACAGGTTAGTGTTTTTTATGAGTAGAAGTGGTTTCTAGTTGCATTACTATTTTGTGTGGGTAAATGGTTGATTCTGTTCTGTTTTCTGTTAGGCCGGACCTTATCAGTCAACAGACTCTTCTGCAATGCAGCAACAACAGCAGCAATACTATCAACAGTGGTATCAACAGAACCAACAACAGTATGCTGGTTACCCATATCCATATAACTACTACTACCCCATGCCTCCGGTAAATAAATGCACTCCTTCAAATTCTTACAGCATATGCCTATATATGTTTGCCCTAAGACCTCAGTCACAATTAGAAGTATATTTCCTAAAATGTATAGTCTTGTTACATTGATACTAGAATAAAATGCTAGTATAATAGCCTTTTTGCTGTTTGATAGTACAGGGAACTGTCTGACATGCATCTACATTTTAGCATTTGCACGAGTGTTTATGCTTTTGGCACATGATCTAATCCAGTGGTTCCCAACCCTGGTCCTGGAGGCACCCCAACACTGCACATTTTGCATGTCTCCTTTCTCTGCCGCACCAATTTCATGTCTTGAAGTCTCTACTAATGACCTGATGACCTGAATCAGGTGTGTTTGATTAAGGAGACATGCAAAACGTGCAGTGTTGGGGTGCCTCCAGGACCAGGGTTGGGAACCACTGCTTTAGACTGTGTCAGAAGGATTTAAAGGGGTCATATGATGCGATTTCAATTTTTCCTTTCTCTTTGGAGTGTTA